GAATATTTCATAGAAATAACAGGCAATCACACAGGTTGCAGGAACCGTGTACAGTACTGAGAAGACCCCGATCTTGACCATCAACCTTTCCAACTTGTCTGTCTTTGTCCCATCCTTTTGAAGATTTGATCGAATTTTGAACAAGGCCACCAAACCTGCAGCAATGAACAGAGTTCCAATCACCAAGTAGGTAAAGAGGGGAGCGACCACGAAGCCAGTGAGGGCATCGAGGTTTTGGTTCCCAACATAGCACAGGCCAGTCAGTTCATCGGCATCCACCAGTCTCATAATCAAGATGACAATGGTTTTCACTGCAGGGATGGCCCAGGCTGCAATGTGGAAATAGGAGCTGTGCATTTCAATGGCTTCATGACCCCATTTAAGTCCCGCTGCCAAAAACCAAGTGAGTGTCAGAATAACCCACCAGATGGAGCTGGCCATTCCAAAAAAGTACATCAGCAAGAAAATTATTGCACATCCTGTGTTCTTAAGTCCTTCTTGGATGAGAACGGGTTCTGCTGCCTCTTCAAAATCGCAGGATATCCTCTCCCGGCCCACCGTCAGCCTGACAATATAAGCAATGCTATAAATATTATAGCACATACTGAGAAATATGATGGGGCGCTCAGGGTAGGAGAACCTGGAAGAATCGATCAGGAAAGTCAGCACGGTGAAGGCGGTAGAGATGAAACACAGGCTGGCCCACACGGCCATCCAGATGTCGGTGAACTCCTTGGCTGAGCGGCTGTACAAGCCAGCATCGTAGCCACACTTGAGAACACAGTTCAGGCTCCTTTTCACCCAGATGTACTGATCAGAGTTTGTTCCCACAGAATGACACTCTTCCCCAGGCTGGATGGGGGTTTTGTGAGGTAAGGGTACCTCTTCATCACCTGGCCCTTCCATGCACATATGGTTGTGGTCATTCTGTGGTGGGAATTTGCTGCAGTTCAGGCTCTCCGGCCAGGCAAATCCAAATTCCTTCAGGACAGGTTCACAACGTCTCTTGACTGAAAGACACATGCCGCCGCATGGGCCAATGGGGATGTTGATCTTCTCAGTGCACATTGGCACATAAACTGAGCAAAGGAAGAACTGGAAAAGTAATGAAATGAACAAAGAAAACAATGACTTGGAAGTCTGATCAAATGCTTTCACAAAACTGAGTTGAAGGCAGTGTACATATCTACCTTTAAAACAGCCTATAGGGAGTCTGTCTTACTCTGAGCTCAAATGAGGGTGTCTAATAATCCATTACTTACACACTTTTCCTACTTTGGCTCAAGTAGTCCTCTCTAGGGAGGCATGCATAAATAAACAAATAAATAAATGAATAGGGTCTGAAGAATTACATACCTTTTCAGATGAGACTTAGGGAAATAAACCCTTCAAAGCTGACTTTGAATCTCCCACCCCTTTTAGCTATTATTTAAGGCCTGGGAAAACTAATCATTGGACTCAGACATTGAGGTGACAGGATGGTTTACTTTGATCCCCACTTCTTTATCACCATAAAAATACATGTAAAAAAATAGACCCTGTTAATCATCTTTTTTCCTCTATCCCTTCAAATGAACTTTTTTAACCAGTCTCACCATGAAACAGAAAATGTCCCAACTGAGAATGAGACACTGTGAGACCTCATGATGAGATGCAGATTGAGGTCTCTAGTCACCAGGGGTTTGTTTGGCCAAGTTTCCTCAATGAATAATAATGAAACACAATAGGAAAATGTAAATGTTAAGTCCCTGAAACTGCAGTGCCAGAAGGGGAGAGTCCAGTTGCTGTCCTCAATTCCTCCAGCATTGATAAACAGTCTGCTTGGCTCCTTACAGATGTTGTCTACGAAGTCTAGGGTTACAAGTAACTATTTTCCAGCATGTAAAGGGATCCAGTCTTGTCCTTCAAAACAGCTTGGCTCTTTCCCCAGGATACGTGTAATTAAAAATATATATCCCTGCAAAAGCTGTTTCTCCAGCAAAATTGCCACTGATGTCAGGATATGTGCTGTTTCCAAACTGAGAGCCGGAGGATCATTTCTTGAGCTTTTATAACCTCCTTCTAAAGTTCTGAAACTTCCAGAGGGACATTTCTCCAACATCGGGTCTAATCCTAACCATCTTTCCAAAACCACAATCCAACTTTTAAAATGACCTATGTAAAAACATGCACCTAGAAAGCAAGATGCATGTCTGTTTCTTATCTCTCAGAAGAAACCACAGAGATTTCTTAAGATTTTAGCTTGGACAACCAACCTCTATTCCCCCACCCCCACCCCAATTTGTCTCTCTTTTCTAAATTTCTAAAAATCACTCAGCTTCACCAGCCAAAACACAACCAGTGTTAATAACACTTTTAAAATGTTCTTTTCAGTCGTTTTCTTCCCCAATGAACTGGCTGCCTTTTTTTGTGTTTGTTTTTTCAAGATTATAATCACTCTGTATAACCAATTCTTTCTTCATTTATTATTGTAGCATAAATATTTTCTGTATCATTACAAAAGCTTTAAAATTTTTAACAACTGAAAGACAAAAGCCCAAAGCCTTCCAATATACAAACTACCTTCTTAGAGCGTTTTCTGTTGTCCCAAGCTTTTAAACCTGCCTCAACCCTGAGAGTAAGAAAAAACTCAAGCCAACCCAACTATTCCTTTCCGCATGACCTCTAAAAGCGTGTGGGACGACCTAAGGAGGGGCCATTCCTCAGAAAACGGGGCAGTGATGTTTCATTTAATAAATCACCCAAAAAATATGGGGAGAAAGGAGGTCGGCAAGGGACAGGGAAGGGAGGAGAAGTTCCTGTCTCCTTATCTCTCCTTCCAAGTCTTAGCTGCAGCTGGCTGCGCCGCCGGACTCGCCCACCGAGCAGCGGCGGCCGGAATCCTTGGCAAAGATAACCCTCAGCTCCACTGGGGTTAGGGGCTTGGCCAGACATGGGTGGGCAGGGGAGAAAACGGAAGGGCGGGGTGTAAGAGTGGGTTCTTTTGCAGGCCAGATGACTTACACAACGTTTTGGCTTCCAGTCCCTGAGAAGGGACAGCAAAGTGGGGGTGGGGATGAAAATCACTTTTCCAGGAGAGTTGTACCCTTCGGGCTAGAAAGGAAGCTGGGAGTTCGGTCTGGCACCGGCTCCACGAAGTTAGTTTGGGATGCTGTACCCAAGGGGTCGCGCCAGGGACGGGGATGGGGGCGCACACCTGCAGCTGGCTGGAGCAGCCGTACTGGATGAGCGGTGTGAAAGTTGTCAGCTGCAGCTCTGCGTCCGTCTGCAGCTCGTGCCCCACCAGGTTGGGCAGCTTGGTCACGTTGTAGCCGAGGTTCTGGCACATGGAGATGCGGATGGGGTCGCAGCGCCGCTCCTCCTCATCCCCGAAGCCCCGCGCCGGCCCCAGGAGCAGCAACAACTGCAGCAGTAGCAGCCCCAAACCGAGACCGGAGCCCCCAGGCGCCCCCGCGCCGCTCGGCCATGCGCCCCCCC